CCCTCCTCTCAGGCAGTTGTAGGGAGCGATGAGGGCTCCCCTCAGCCTCCTCTGCTCCAGGCTGAACCCCCCCAGCTCCCCCAGCCGCTCCCCAGCAGCCTGGGGCTCCAGACCCCTCCCCAGCTCCGCTGCCCTTCTCTGGACACGCTCCAGCCCCTCCATGTCAAAGTACTCAACTTTTCTCTAATACCACATAAATTGGGTGGTAAGGTTATGAGAAACGTTATTTTAAGGTATGAAAAGGTCCACGTTTATGAACCTTCAGATCATTTAAGTTTCAGCTGATCTGAATTGACCTTTTTTTTATTACAGTTAAACCACTACGATAATTTCTCACTTCCTGTCCACCCTGCACACACACAGTTTTAAATTTTACTCTAGCATCCATCTTTATTATACGAGACGTGTGTTAAATGCTAGTTGGCTTACAGTCTTTAGCTGGAGGGGAGGAAACTTCAAGTTCAAAGAAAATTGGTTTAGTAGCTTTGAAGTTGGATGTGCTTCCATTTGGAATATTTACGCATGCAAGAGCACTACGCCACATCCTCAAGTGGCTCAGAAAGACTGGAAATACGTAAGGATCCTTTCTCTCTGGGTCATCTTTAACCTCGAACTTCACAGTGCATTAGCAAACGTGGATTTAAGCCCTGATCGAGTGCTTGCTAAAGCTGATGGAAAGCTTCCTGTTGACTCCAGTGATGCTGTGGATGGTGGTCTCTGGAACAAATGTAAATTTAGGGATTGAATTTGTTTTGGCAGTAAACTGTTCTGAACGGTTTTATCAGTCGAAGACACCTTTTAAGGTGTCTAATTAAAAAAAGAAAAAGCTACAATTCCTACTAAAGCTTGGCATGCGTTGGCATTTTATAGTTCCTTTGTTTCATGAGAGACTTAGTCAAAACTGTTTGTAAATGGGAAAAGGTTAAGCCTTTAAATATTGGGATTTACAGAAACTATTTATAGTTTACCGCTGGAAAAAGGGGTTCGGGGAAAAAAAGGAGACAGTGCTTTGTTGTATTGTTTGAAATTAATTGCTTTTGAAATAATTAAACTTGAGGAATATTTTGAGAAATATATTAAGAAATAAATAGGGACATCTGTTGCTTTTTTTAATGCCAGCATTACTGAAATACGAAGTAGCATTACCAGCTAGCTTAATATATTGACATAAAATATGCAGTATGCGTGAAGCGGCAAAAATCACGATGTGATTAGAAACCTTAACTTTTGGCCTTGCTTTTGACTGCTGGATGACTTTAACCTTAGTGCCGTGTTGATGCCTTTGCCTTTAATCTGCAATGTAAATCAGTGAATGTTTAAATATTCTGACTGGTGAATCATACATGTTTTTGCATTCAGTTCGGTATCATTGCCAATATTAATACATAACCTTACTGGAAGCCTTTTTTCCTTGCTGGAGTGGTTTATTTATCTTCTGATATCTCATTGGGGAAGCCTCATTGCTTTCTTACCTTAATGTCTTTCTCTTCTTCAGTGCCACTTGGCCATAGAGCTCCCCTCGTTAGAACAATCACCTCTTACGTGATTTTCTTATTGCTTCTTTCACAGTTGTTTTGCTTTACGTTAGAGCACCTCTAACCAACCCCAAAAGGTGGGAGTCTGTCCTTTTGGGTTGTTCTAGGACAGGAGGATTCTGAATTCTTTTCCTGACACTACACTACCTCATATGCTATGTGACTTTGGATCACAGACCTGCCTCAGCTGGCTGCTTTGACAAGGAGTCCAGGGATTTATTTTTCCCCCCCCCCACCTCTTTGCATCTAGAGCATCAGATGCACACTAGGGCCGGTGCAGAAGAAGCGATAAGAGTGGTCAGCCAAGGGCAGGGCATGTCTGCCTTCCCTGACAGCCACCAGCGACGGTGTTGACCTGTAAAGTCAAGCTGAACCCTTGGGGCAGAGGGGCGGACACACGCTTCCAAGAGATGCATTAAATGGGTGTAATGGTTCCCTGCTGTCACATAGGAGCAGATCCTCCTTTTGACCTTCCTTACTTACTGGGAGTTGCACTCGATGATCCTTATGGGTCCCTTCCAACTTGCGATATTCTATGATTCATCGGCGGTGCTCAATTGACCACTCCGCAACCCAGCCCAAGACCAAAACAAAAGAAAAGCGCTCTCCTCAAAATGCTCATTGGGCTCTCCTGCATCGGTGAGGTGAGTCATCCTGGTCAAGTGTCCATCAGGAATCAGAGCTGGCATGAGGTTGGGAGCAAGACGGTGTGGCTGGAAGCGTGGGCAGGGCAGGGAGCCATCACATCTGCTGCCTGTGGAGCTGCAGCACAAACCAGCCCAGAGTGTCTCCAAATAAGTCATTTATGTCCTGTCCTCAGAGGTGGTGACAATGATTTTATTATTTCGCAGAGCTGGCAAAGTAAGTGTGTTTTTTCATCTCATGGTGGCGATGTGAGATTCGTGATAAACAGGAGTGTTTGTAGAGTGCATAAATAGACCTGGGGAAAGGAGGAGACCAACCTTCCATCTACACACTCCAGAGCGAGCACCTTGACACCGGGGTTCAGAGTCTTCATCTGCCCTTGGCCAACTTCCTTGTGATCCATTTACTTTACAGATAGCACAGCTTAATGTGTGTTACCTGTCTGGGATGGTTGGTCTTGTGTCTTGGATACTCTTTGAGGAGAAATGACTAGATATCCCTCCTGGAGGCTGAGGGTGGAGAACGTGGGTCTCGCTTTCCTCATGAACCAAATCGTTTAGCAATTCTGTAACGAGGGGAGCAGAATGAGGCTGTGCCTGGATGGGGCTCTCTCAGCACCAGCAGCTTTTGGCACAACTGCTTTGCAAAGCTGCAGGTAACTCAAGTCAGTGAGTTGATCTGAGTTAAAACAACCCTGCAAGCTGTAAAACCAGTACCTCCCCCTTTTGTTGTTTTTTTTAATTTATGGGGCCATCCAGGACTTACTGCTCCTTAAGCCAGCAGTGCTGCTGGGGTGATGATGGCTGAAGCTTCATCAGACCACGAAGGCAGGATTTGCTGGTTAATTTTGCAGCAGGAGTGCAGACTTTATCCATGGTCCACATCTTGGTTTGTCTCTTGAACTGACTCAGTTGTCCCTGTCTCCCTGTTTACAAGGTTGTGTACAAATGGTTCAGGAGGCTGGAAAAGATATTTTTTAACCGGTTTCTTTTTTTCAGCTGGATTAGCTCTCTGGTCTGTTTTTCTCTGCAGCTGCACAGCAGGCAGGGTGGCACAGGAGCGCGGGCGTGCAGGACAGAGGCTGCTGGAGCTGGCCCCAGGCTTAGGCAGGGAGTCTGCCAGAAACAGCCTGGGCTGACGTGGTCCTGCCGTTCCTCTGACCTTGCTCGCCTCCTCCCGTCCTTGCGCTGGATCTCGCATGCATTCAAGTCTGTGCAGATCCATTTTGGTCTGCTTAAGCTAGCAGCAAACCATTTGCTGCTTTTTATCATGGTCAAGTACAGGTTTGTGAAGCACAGGGAGCCATCAGAGCCGCTTGGTGCTGCCCAGGTGGGGAGGTCCTGCTCCCAGCAGGCTGCTAATGGCACTTTATTCCAACATCCAGGCTTGCTGGAGCGCTCCAGGAGCTGGTTTAACACACAGCAGCAGTAGGAAACATAGCAAAATGTCTGAGTGGGTCTGGGCCACGGGAATGTGTTGAAGCAATTTAGGAAAGTGCTGGTGAGTACCAAAGCTAGCGCAGCAACTGGTGGGACCACAGTAGCCTGCCGTTAACTCAACTGAACAAACTTGTGGGGGGTTTTATCACTATGAGAATACCACGCCAGAGAGGGATCAAGCGGTGGATTTCAGGTGTGCGGTAGTCTAATCCAGTATTGGATCTGGCCCGTAGATGCTATTATAATGAGGGCAGTGTCATTGCTTAAGACAGTTTAATGGTTGCTTGCTTCAGGGTGCCTTGCCTGGTTTTTGATTTTTTTTTTTTTTTAAGTGATTTTATTTTAATTGTCATTACTGGAATTTAATCTGCAAAAAAACCCCAATTTGATCGTTGTGTAGCGCGAGCTAATGCTGTTCAATTTGCAGTTCTATACTGGGGTTTAGTCACAGAAGTTAGCAGGAGATACAGTTTGTCCTCCCGTTCTCCAGGATTGTTCAAAACATCATTGTAGAATAAATCTGTTTTTCTTCATTGCTATTCAAATGATGTGTCCCAGACACATTGATTAATCTCTAAATGTAGTCTGCCGAGATTGAAGATAAGTACACTCATTTCTATTGTTCTTATTCTGAGCAGAGTCTGTTACACTAAATGGTGCAATATCTATTGAATTCTTGCTGAAAGGTAGAAGTAATGTACAGATTTGACTCGTGGCATGGTCACGTGGATTGTTTTTTCTTCAGTGGCCTTCTCTTTAAATCTAGAACATGCTCTTTTATTTCCAAAAAATGTCGTCAACTGATAAAATACTGGAAACTCAATGTAAGCCTTCGTGCCAAAAAAGCCTTGTAAGCCAATGTAACGCTTAAACCGTACTTACAATTGTCTCTTACAAAATCTGTCTTGAAATTAGTTTTCTTGAGTCACTAAAGCCCCAGGTAGTTTGTTTTGCCCTGACTTGCATTTTTTGTTCTGCTTTTGCAGGAGTTTTTTGAGAATCCTGCTTTCCGCCCAGACGGCATGAAGCTCTATCCAACACTGGTGATCCGTGGCACTGGTCTGTACGAGCTCTGGAAGACTGGGAGATACAAGAGCTACCCCCCCAGCACTCTTGTGGATCTGGTGGCCAGAATCCTGGCCCTTGTCCCACCGTGGACACGTGTGTACCGTGTTCAGAGGTAATTTTCTGTGGTGGGCCTTGTATCTTGATTTATTCTGCTTGGAGGGATTCTTTAATTACAGCAAGATCTGACTCAGCCCTTTATTATTTTTCAGCCTTAATCATTAATACCCTAAAGATTTTTAAAACTGCTTCCTGTCTATTGAGAGTGGGAGAGGCCAAGTAGAATGAGAAGCTGTTTAAATTGAACTGCCTCTCTAATGCACCCAGAAACTTCAAGATTTGTGGAGGCCCCGCTTTTGTTGCCAGTCAGACAACAGCATAGGACGTGGCACGCGTAGTACTTCAATGATATTAATGGAAAATTGCCCCTTTACTGTGGGTGAAGTATCCTAATTTATTGCAGGAGCTGTGAGGTGTGTCTTTTTTTTGGCTATAGAGACTTCCTTTCTCTCCCTGTGGGTGTTGCGCGGTTTTCATAAATGTGCTATGGTAGCGCCGTTATTTCCAGCACTCACCTCCCAGGACGATAGATAATACTTCCATTTAGCACTGTATTTTCAGTGCAGAGTCTTTCATGGATTATTTTTCTTCTGTTATCTCCTACATCTGGCTGATATTAGGAAGGGAGGCTATGGCGTGCTTGCCTATTTTCGCATGTGCAGACAATACTGAGTTGGCTTCCAGCTACATGAGCTGGAAACAGTGCCAACACCTAGCTCTCCAAGAGCAGGCAGAATGAGAGAGCCTTGTGGATTAGACCTCACCTGCCTGGACTTCTCGAAGGCATTTGATTTTGTGCCCGATCAGAAATAGGACATGACAGGGATAAGCAGAGAAACATGGTAGGGAAGAAAGTGACTGAAGGCAAGAAACGCTGGGTAGCTTTGGCAAAGAAAGTATGGACTCAGGGTTATTAGTGGAGTTTCTCAAACATCCATTTAAAAACTAATCTTGCTCCAAATTGCATTTATTTACAATGACACAAAAGTTAATAGGGGATTGAGGAAACCTTGCAGGGCTGGGAAGCATCAGTGAAAGAGAGAGGATGCACGAGCAGGATCTGGTGGTGGTGAAGCTGGGGTGATAGCGATGGGATGAGATGCAGTTCAGGGAAGTTTGAGATCAAACTCGGAGGGGGTTTTGCTGCAAGCTATGAGATTATGAAAATAGCAGAGGAGGAAAAGTACCTAATGTCTTGGTCTGTAATACGAATAAGCCACTGGTGAATGCAGCCGCGAAAAGCATTTTTTTTCAGGGTAACTCTTCTTAGAGATGAAAGTATTAATGCAGCAGCCAGACAAGGCTTTGTCTGGAATAATCCCCATCTCCAAGAAATAAACTGTGGAAATACGTGCAGAGGTGCATCAGTCTTTGGTTGAAGGATAGATATGGACATAAATGACCCCTGCAAATCTATGAGAGAAGGAAAATCATAGAATCATAGAATCATAGAATGTTTTGGGTTGGAAGGGACCCCCTGCAGGAGCAGGGACACCGCTAACTAGATCAGGTTGCTCAGAGCCCCGTCCAACCTGGTCTTGAAAGTTTCCAGGGATGGGGCCTCCACCACCTCTCTGGGCAACCTGTTCCAGTGTTTCACCACCCTCATTGTAAAGAACTTCTTCCTTATATCTAGTCTAAACCTACCCTGGTTTAGTTTAAAACCATTACCCCTTGTCTTGTCATAATAAATAAATAAATAATAAAATAACCTTTTAAGAAATAGGAACATTGATTTGGGCAGAGAACAAGGAAATAAGAGGTAGCCTTGCATAAAACAAGGCAGGAAGCCAGGAATTTTTGGTTGGGCCTGAGATTCTGGAGTAGCTTTCCAAAGTTACCAAAGAAGAAGAGACACTAAACATAAGCGTGGTGAAGCTTGATTAGGGTTATGAATGTGACTGTGATCCAGCAGTCTGCAGAAGCCCAGGCACAGATTCAGCCACCAGGAGATCCTTTCTTCAGAGCTTCGTTACTGTGAGAAACCAGTGGCTGTAGCTGAGCTCTGAGAAGAAGGACGTGATACTGCTGAAGAAGGTTAAACATGGCTTATAGGAAATACCTACTTGATACCCCGCCCAGGCTTTTCACATCACTTGTAGGAGCATTATTAAAGGTAAAATTCCTGTGTTTTCTTCCTGCTCTTCTCCTTCTTCCTCATCAGTTCCACTACTACAGACTCAGTGGCCCGTTTGCTCATGATGCTATCGCCATAGCATCATATCTAACACGAACAGGTTTATTCTTAGAGGACAACATGAATTTGCCGCCTAGCAGGCCTTCTTCTAAGGAACACCGGCCTGGAAAAGTCTTTGCTTGGTGTGTTGATTTGCCTGAGCTTGACTATGATTTCTGCTGTCGACAGCAGCAGCCTCCATCCAGCTGTCATCTGGTTGTCAGTTATTATGTTCCAGTGGAATAGCTGTTTTCTTACTGACTGGCTCATGATATCTGAAACTTGTTCGTGGTGATTACAGATTTTTACACCTCCAGTGCAAAGTCCAAAAGCTATTACTTTGATCTAAATTGCTTTCGGGGCCATTGTGTGACTCTGGAACAGAATAATGAGCAAAGCCAGATTGCTAAAAACATTTGTGGCCCGTTCCCAACAACTGCTTCACTTGCAGACAGCAACTTTTTCCCCGTTCTCCATTGCTGCCCCAGCCCCTTTCCATCTTCCTCCAGCCTGTTCCCACAAGTCCTCCATCCTTCACATCTTACGATTCAGGCTCTATTTCTACCATCCTTTCAGATTCAGCTCGTGCCCTGGATGGCAGCTCCATCCCAGGCTCTCGTTTGGTACGTGCATTCAGGTTTTCTAGCAAACACCACCAGAAAAAGACTGAGCTATCTATGCCCATCCTTATTAGGACCACTATTTGGGATCTTTGTTCTCTAGTACCGGGTTTTGGGGAAACAGAAGGGACTCAGTGTTCTTGTAGTCCCTCACATGCTCAAAGTAATCCGTTTAAGGACACGGGTGAGTATCACAGAATCACAGAATCGTAAGGGTTGGAAGGGACCTCAGGAGATCATCTAGTCCAACCCCCCTGCTAAAGCAGGCTCACCTAGAGCATGCTACACAGGACTTCATCCAGGCGGGCTTTGAATATCTCCAGAGAAGGAGACTCCACAACCTCCCTGGGCAGCCTGTTCCAGTGCTCTGCCACCCTCAGAGTGAAGAAGTTCTTCCTCATATTCAACTGAAACCTCTTATGTTTCAGTTTGCATCCATTGCCCCTAGTCCTGTCGCTGGACACCACTGCAAACAGACTGCTTCCGTCCTCTTGACTTCCGCCCTTAAGATATTTGTATGCGTTGATGAGATCCCCTCTCAGCCTTCTCTTCTTCAGGCTGAACAAGCCCACCTCTCTCAGCCTTTCCTCGTAGGGGAGATGCTCCAGTCCCTTTATCATCCTAGTAGCTCTCCTCTGGACTCTTTCTAGGAGTTCCTCATCTTTCTTGACCTGGGGAGCCCAGAACTGGACACAGTACTCCAGGTGGGGTCTCACCAGGGCAGAGTAGAGGGGGAGGAGAACCTCCCTCGACCTGCTGGCCACACTCCTCTTAATACACCCCAGGATACCATTGGCCTTGAGTATGGGAGAGGCGTCACTGACAAAACACGGTAGAAGTCTTTCTGCTTCAGGAAACCAGGTTAAATAGGTTTTTTGTTTTTAAAAAAAAAAAAGAGATCCTGTTGCTAATGGCTGCTTGGAGGAGAATATATCGTCCAGGGTGTTTTGTAACCATCGGCGTTACTTAATACTTTATTTATCCTGAATGTTTGTGAACCTTATTATCACCCAAGTGCCTTGGTGTGTGAGAAGGTGTGAAATGACAGGAGCAGCACCACACACCTTGAGACTTCTCCCTTTGTGGATCTCGGTGGTTTATATGAATGTTATTTTCACTGTGCTGATGGAGAGATGAAGAAATAAGATACTTTACTCAGCCGAGATCATATAATACGCCAGAGCTGAGAGCAGACTCAAGGTTTTTAGTCTTTCACTGTGTGCTTCAATCAGCTGCTTCACAAGTGTCCTAAGTAATGCAAAATGTTTGAAAAATAGAAGATTAAATAGACCTTGTTGAAGCTTCTGGCAAATTGCACATTAACTTTAATAAGGTCAGGATTTAATCCCCCGTATCCCTGAATTTGTTTAGCATTTTAACAAGTCCTAAAATCACTGGTACAGTGCTGTCTTGTGGCTATTCAAACTAGGCAGTTAGTGTGTGCGCTCACGATGCGCACAGGGTACTTATTTAAATACTCTGCCCTAATCTGAAGTAGGGATGGAAAACCTATTTCTTGCTTTCTTTTTCTTGAAAAGCTTATTTTTCACATTCATATTTTAATTCCGTTTGCTCCCTAGTAGGCAAATGAGAAAGGCTCAAGTTACTGTACGTTGTAATCTAGCTTGTATTTGTAATACTTTATTTACTGTTTCATAGCTGACTCTGG